ACATGGCTACTCAAAACACTACAAAAAGAATAAGTGGAACACCCATAGTTTTATAAGGTAAATGCTGGTAATCCCAGTTCACACAGGGGAGGAAACAAGCCCTGAAGTGTTTAATGGACTCGCCTGTAATCACACAGCAGCTACAGAACAATTCAGCAATAAGTGATGTAATGTTCAAAAGCATCTCTCTGAAACTTAGAGCCTGTGGATGTGCAGTGAAACTCAAGTTAAATGCTTTGAAAATAGGACTAAAATGATAAATTGGAAGCTTTTAGTAAAGTGCTCTAAAATGCCCATTTTCTATCAACCACTTCTGTTTTAAACCACAAGACATTTTCTCTCTCAGTACTTGCTCAAAGTGAACCTTAGAACACACTTTAAAAGACACATTGAAATGCTGTAACACTTTCCAAATTTCAGCCTTTCCTAACCATGCATATTGCTGGGCAAGCAGCAGTAACTTTCCTTCTGCATGCCTTTGTTGTGTTCCTGAATTGCAGTTTTGGATATGAAGCACATTTTCACCACTCTTTTTCAAAAATGCCACTAACTGACAGTTTAAAACAAGACATTTACATTGCAACTATTCTGTGCCTTCTGGGGCCACTTCAACTAACTTCATGCAATTAAATTATTCTCTAATGCTCTGAAAACACACAGACCATGATTTCATACCAGTTTTGGAGTTACATCACCAGATCCCAGAAGCAACAGAGCTGTGCTTACTCGTAGCAGTGGACAGTCAGGCCCAGGTAATGAAATAATAACCTGGATTCCAAACAGTGATAATAAAATGCAAAACCATAAGGCTTTGGTTTGATAAAAATGAATTAGTAAATTTTTCATCTGATGTTCTCATTAACCACTACAGTAACAAATTAAAACTCACAGTATTCCTGTGACATATAGATCCAGAGAGATACTGCTCATTAAAAAAACCTACAAACCAACCAACAAACAATGTAATCTATTCCAGATCATGGAGAGATGATGTCTACCAGATAAAATAATCCATCAGGTCAGAAGAACTGACCTCCAACAGCAAAGGCCACAGTTCAGGCTGAGCTGTCGAGAGCAGAGATAGCACCAATCCTGTTATCAATAGTGATTTGCTTTGTCATACACTGTGTTTAGCAACTATTGTTCCTCAATGACTATTCACCTTCTGTTTCTCAAGGGATGAGTTTGGTCTACTCAATGTTTTTAGACATTCTTGAACTTATCCACTCTGTCTCAGTCTCTCCTGAAGAGATTTCTCCTTCTGGCTTCTCTTTTGCCATCCTGACACATCCCTTCTTTCATGAGCATCTCCTTGGTTTGCAGCCTGTGCCATTCTTTCCCATCCTGGTCTGAAGCCTGACTTTTTGTCAGTGGATCAGTTTCTGCTGTTAATTATTCCTCTCCTCAAGGCCACAGATACCTTGCCTGATTTACTGGCAGTTATTCTCTGCACAATACAGCTATGGAGCATTTTCAAGTTGGAAAGAGAGGTGGTGAAGCAGATAGACAGGGAAAAGGTGGACAGAAAAATAAAGACTGAGGCTTGTTACCCACCATCTTCTCCAGGAAGGTTTACCTCTGAATCTCTAATTTGAAAACCTACTTTCCTAATTACCTGCCTTATCTAAATGTCATCATGTTATTTCTCTGTCAAAAGACACCACCTAGAATAATACAAAACTATTATTTTGAGGCTCTGCTTCCCAGATTACTATAAATAATGGAATCATATGGAATGCCGATAAACATTAGATAACAATACATTTTCTTTGAACTTACTGATTTTTTCCTCTACAGTGCAAGCATTTAATATTATTTATATCCTAAACTGCTTAAAAGTGATACCCAGCACACAGATGTCAAAAAACAGCAACAATTTTTACAAAGGGGTAACTTTCTGAACAAACATATTTTCTCCACAGCCTGATGAAAAGATCATTTTCATCTCAGACTTTTAAAATTGTCACTCTGAATTCTCTTCTCTCTCTCACATACACACATCCAGACTCACTGCTGCGCTCCAGTTGTTTTGATAATGCAAAGCTATCACAAACATATCTGAACACATAGCAACACCTAAGATTTAGCAACTGGAATTTAATATGCTAAATTAAGTGCCCCAATATATTTTTCTACTGGGGAAAAGTGTGAGCCAAAATGACACTCTTTATATATGTGCAGTAAGCAGAAAATACAGTAAAATAAATATATGCTTTATTCTGGTTTATATACACCATGCTTATCAGGACAGGTGTGATTGCCAGGATGTGAAGCACATGTGTAGGTGCACATACATTAAGCAGCAAACAGTAATTCTGACGAGACAGTTACTAATTTGAACTTTGATATATTGGCAATTCCACAGAAAAACAATACAACCACCTCATCAATTGTCCTTCTCTCCCAGGAAGCCATCACACAAACAAGGAACTGCGCCAGAGGAATTCTAAGGGGGGTCATTTAAAACAGCAACAACAAAAACCAAATGAAACCACCCCAAACCAACCACTTCAGTCACATCCCTCACAACCAGATTACACATAAACACTTCACAGGAATTTCTGAGGTCACCGGGAACATCTGAATAGATTTTTTTTCTTTGCCTCCTTTCTCATGTATTGTTTCGGTGCCCTCTCATGCAAAACAACAAAATCTGGGCCCGTTCTGTGAGGCAATGACCACCACCAGCTTACACTACTGATCCCAGTGCCAGGAAAAAGGTTTGCAGCCTGAAGGCTCTGTTTTCTCATTGTCCACAGCTGAGCAAAGAGTCACCTGCGAGCCTGCAAGTGGCTATTCAACAGACAACACTGAAAAACAAACAGGAGTTCAACATCTTCAGCACCCTATGGGACAGGACTCCTTTCTGGATTTGCAGTTCCCAGCTGACGTGGCCTAATACACACATACAGCACAATGAAGGGTATCCAGAACTTCCCATTTGCCTGAGAGGCAACCACACTTCATGCGCTGAAATCTGCATAACAACACTCTGTGGGTTTCTTATTTTTAATTAATTCTTCTGAAAATATTTTGGGGATGAGTGGATGTATATGGTGATTGCAGTGCTGAGAGAGGCTGTGGGGTTCATAATTGCAATGAGAATAAAATCCTGCCCTCCTGTATATGCAGCAATGATTTCATTGTTCACATTAGGCAAAACCTCTCTAATTTCAAGGTCAGCTACATGTATAACAACAACAACGAAAACAACAAAATAAAGTAACGATGCTCAATGCTTTGAATAAATCCAGACAGGACAGTTAATAAAATAGAAAATTCCTCACTTACCTCAATAGTTGTGAGCTGTTATTTCATACTCTGTAAACTTTCCCTCCCTGCTAACTAAACAAAAGTTCTGCAATCTCGATGCTAGAACAGCTCTCAAATACATACTGCAGAATACCAAAAAAGAGAAAGCCTATGTTGTCCTTACTAGCAGGCATCTCTCCAGGGATGATTGGTCATTACCCTGGCAACCCTCACAAATGGCAAATGACGTAAAGAGAGTGGGAAAAAAAAGCCACTGAGAGAAGAAAGCACTATATGCATTATAGATAGTTCTGGGAATCCATGCTCACATATGCATTAAATGGCTTCAGAGGAGCACAGGGACCTTCCATTTTGCAGAGCTGCCTGCTGAGGTGAATAAGAAACTTTCTAATTTTTTTCTTAATCAAAACATTGGGAGCATGTCTAAGTATTTAATTGAAGCAAATTGGGGGTTGATTATTTTAATAATTCAGACACTGAGTTTATTCTCTTTTATTTTTTCAATTCTGTTTAAATTTCCCATTAAAATAGCTCACAGTCATATTCAGACAAGGGTGGATGTATTTTTCATTACTCCTTTTCACCTTATATGCTGCTACATAAAGTTACCCATTATTATATTTATTCCCTTTATGTCTCATACCCTCATTTTTCCCTAACAATTCATTTGTACAAATTGTACAAGAGTTCCCATGTTTATGTCATTAAAACATTAGCCATTGTATTCAGTGTTACTGATAATTGTGCCTAAAGAAGATGTAGCTCTAGCCAAACACCAGGGGACAAAATAAAAAGCATTTTGCTATTTTTGCACTGAATAGTTACAGTGAATTTGATCATACTGTGAGCTGTCTGTCACACAGCAAGATGAATTTGGGTGTGGTTACTTCTTCCACAATTGGATTTTAAAAGCACAAGTAAGATAAAAAGGAAATCTGCTTTGAGATTGTTTAGCATCTGCATCACTCTACAATTCAGTAAAACTGAAGGAATTCTGGGTACAAAACCCAAGAAAAGCATCTTCCACCCCTGCATGAATGTGTTACCAATTACAATCCAGAATCAGGCATCCTTCCCCTCGCTCTTCTTTAGACCTCAGACTTCTGCATTCCTAAATGTGCAAAAAACAACTTTCCAAGAGCATACTGGAGAGCATTAGCACTCAGATAATTTCATAGCCTAAAGGAAGGGGCACAATTCTCTGAAATAAGAACTAAGAAGTAAGTGAGGTGAGGTGGCTGCTCTAACCACTTAGCTATTATGTAAAAGTTGGATGGAAATGGCTCTACCATGACAACTGAGTTTCCTGTTGAACTGATGAAAACACATTAGATGTATTTGAACTCTGAACTCCAAACCTGAATTGAAATGGAAGTACCCAGCAGCTTCCACAAGGATATTTCTGTTCCTGGCTGCCTAAATTCAATTAGTTACAGTTTTATGGAGTAAAAATTAGCACTCATTGCAATTCAGATTGTTATTATTTTCCAAAGCTACTACTCCATTGCAATCAGGAGGGAGGTGTTACACTTGTATCATGACAATTTTCCAAAAAGCCTGAATGAGCCCTTGGAAGTGCCTGAGTTTTATGACCAAAGAAGTAATGAACAGAAAGGATATTCCATAATGCTCCATTAGGTGCACTTTATTTATTTGCTGAAGACAACTCATTTTTAATTATTTAAATTCTGGCAACATCATACTAGCAAATGTTCTGCTGGGTTTTAATTGACAAATATCTCGGTCTGAGCAAAGAGAAATCTCAGTGTAACATTACCTCTGATATTACATCTTTTTCCTGACAGGAGGACAAGGATTACTTTGTGTTTAGAAACCACAGAAAGCAAAGTTTAGCCATTTGTTCAGGGCCAATGAAAGCTCTATGTTCCCATAAATCTTCACCTTGATGAGCCAAATCTAAGCTTCTCATTTTTTTACAATTACAATTTGCAGAAATTGAGATACAACAACAAACTTTCCACCAACATTTCACTCATTACCAAAACCAAACCAAACTCCTACCATTGGTGTTCCCAAAGTTGCTTTTGTAAGAACAAATGTGGTCTGTCATGGACATATATAGCATGAAATGTTAGTAGATGTGAGACCAAAAGTATTGAAATATACAAAAACTGTGTGTGTTTTTGCAACACAGATTGCACGGAGATTTCTGTGTTTTATGGTCTTAACAAAACCTTCATATTTTCAGATCATATCCAGCCTGTCAACTTGCCTTTGTCTGAGCATGTGAGATTGACTCATGTGAATGTTCTGGGCAGCACAACAGGGACAAATCCAGCCAATGAGTGGGGACATGGGGAAGAAAAAAGAGTTTTTAATGGAGTCTTAGGAAGAGGCACAAATGAAAAAAGGGTTGCCAGTCCTTAAAGGACCCTTTCTATACACTGGTATAATTTGCCAACACATTAGCAAATTAAATTAAAAATTCATCAGTATGTTAAAAAAGACTGGAAACAGGAATCACTCTGTAAGTAAATTATTACTGATTTTAAGTGATTCATCACAGAAAAGGATCAGCTCACTCAAATGAGGGCGAATTAAAAGTTTTCAGCATTTTTCTGGCTCAACTGTTTAAATGATTGTGAAATGCATCCTGTAGCAGAATCCATTCACTTAACGATGCCCGTAGTGACCTGGTGTAAAGGACAATCACACCTTCTCCATGCTTTCCAAATTCTGTCTTTTCTCTTAGGTGTGTCTACTCCCGTCTGGTTTTTAGCTGGAAAAAAAAAATAGCTGAGGCTTAGCAGGCTCAATGTCCTTTATGCCACAGAGTTGCAGAAAAAAATCCCAAATCTATCAGAACATATTATCTCTCCAGAAGCCCTTACACTGTCATGTCATGTAGACATCAAAGGGGAGAATGCTGATGTTTGTTTCCCAGGCTATAGATATGATTCTGAACAATACCCTGTTGAGTAAGGACAATATATTCTTTTTTCCTTCTCTGTCCTTCCAGAAGAAGGACACACATGTGCCTTGCCAGATGATGCCAAACCCATTATTAGTGTCCTTGCACTTCTCCATTAGCAATATTGCAGCAAGACCAGCTGATGTCAAGGGTGTTCATGCTGAAAGATAACAACATTCCTTAGGAGGAGAAATTACAGCCTTTTAGCATTCTCTGGCTTTCCCACAATGTAGCTTTATCTGGGAACATTATTACAGTGAAATTCAGCGAGATAAATGAAGGAATAGCAAGTACTAACTTTCAGAAAATGCAAACATCTGAACAGGAACACACTGCTGTAAAGCAGTATCCTTCACTACCCTATTTTAATCAAATCCATGGACAGAGTCTGCATTTTAACACAGATCCATCCAAGTGCAGGATGACTCCATATTTTTCCCAGTTCCTGCATTTGTCAACCAGCACCTTAGTGACCCAGACCCACCTCTGCTGACCCCATAAACCCTGTGCTAAAATACTCCAGTGGGTGACAATCACTGTGAGGGGGAATGCTGGGGCAGGAACACTGGGGCAGTTCTGACCAGAGGGGACAACAGCAAGTCCCATCATCCCAACACAGCACAGGGGCAAGGTCACCTGTGCAGGTGACACCTGCAGAGTCTTTGCTGACTCTCTCTCAGGATTGCTGGTTCAGATTGGCCAACCCAGCCAACCAAACCACAGTCCTGGGAGGTGCTGCAGCCTCAGGATCCTCACAGCTTGGACTGCAACTCACAGTGAGCAGCAGATCTGAGGTGCCCAGCACTGGCTCTCCCTGTGCTGCCACTGGTGAGCCTAAGAGCACTTGTACACACGTAGAGAAACTGTGTCTGCAGCTTTGATTAAGGCACATCTAAACAAGCCATTGAAAATAAGCAGCTTCTGGGAAATGCAGCTTAAAAGGCCTGGCTTCCTCCAGTTTTGTTCCATGTTTAGATTCTTTTGTGTGTCTCAAAAAAGCAAAAATTTCTGATCAAAGCTTTTACTAGGATAAAGATACTCATGCAGTCCATGTTCTACATGGATGATCTGTTGCCAGCTAATATAATGCAGCTTATGCTGCAACCTTATCATCTGTGGAAGCAATCAAAAAGGTAACATGAGCCCAGTTTCCTAAAACACTGGTTTAAAAATACCCGAGACTTGCTTACATCAATTCTCCCTACTGTAAGCATCCCACAGTGCTAGACTGTTTTCCATCTCTATTTTTCTTGATTGGTCAAAGAAATCAAGCAATTAATAAATAAAAAATACCAAGATTTTCATGGATTGGTGCTTTTATATGCTGTTTATGGCCTGTGAGAAAGAACATCCCTGACCACTCTCCTAGCCAGGATTCTCTATGCCACACCTAATTCTCATATAAAGGAGTAAATAATGAAGAGTACCCACCCATGTAAGCTGACATATCAGGACTCAAGGAAAATCCATCATCAGCAGATCTGATCAGGTTCTCCATTGTACCACATCTTTTTCTGATAACACTTGGAAGCACTCATTGCTCTCCATTTCACTTGCAAGGAAGATGTCTTGAGCCTGATGCACACAGTTTTGCTGTACTGAAATAAAAGACATTGTGTCAGTGTGGTGAGAGAGAATAATCAGTCTCCAAGATAACCACATAAGCAGAAGACAAAGGGATTACAAATGTGCATGTGATATAAAAGTCAGGATTCTTACATTAGGCATAAAATATGTAATGAACTTACCTGTTAAAGCAATTTCAAATCATCAAACAATAAACATCAACAAATGCAAAGATATTATATATACCATCCCAATACTTTTTAAAATGGAGCATAATAATGCAGATGTGTGTTGAGGCTGTAATTCAGCAGCTGACACTTTTGAACAGCTGTAGCACGACTGCCCTACGATAGATCTTTTGTGAATATTCAGATAAAGCACTGCAATCTGAAACATCCCTCTATAAACTGGTAATTCTTAATAGATACAAACCCTTTTCTCATCAGACTTCTTGCTGCAATGCAACTGCATTGCTCTACATGCTCATTTTGGATGACAGAGTACCTACTTGTCACAGTAATGACATGAATGAATTCAAGAAAAAAGGGACATGCCCATCCAGCAAATACACTGCTGTTTTTCCTCACTGCTGTTTAATAATTTAGTTTACAACAATATAATTATCTATTTGATGATACAGTAATACATAAATCTAAACCCCCAAGCCAATGCTTTGGTTTTTGAAGCCCAGCAGAAATAATGCTGCTCTCACTTGTGCTCCAAACCCTGCAGCACTTTGTGGATTGCCAATGTCCCTGCAATCCAGGGACAGGCTTTGCCTGTGCCCTCTCCTGGTGGCAGAGCACACAGGACAAATGTGGCTACACCAACACCTCCCCTGCACAACAAACATTTCCTGATGCCAAGTGCAAACAGCTTTTTAAAGTAAACCAGACCAAGATTCCAGACTGAATGGTGGCACAAAACATGTCACCAGGTCTGTAGGGTCAGTGCTGAGCACACCCCTACAGCTCTGCTCCCCACACTGCCCCATTTCACCCACAGGGTCTCCAGACAGCACCACAATTTGAAAATGCTCCTGAGGTAAGGCAAGGCAGCAGCTCCTGGAAAGCAGGAGCAGGGATGTGCACCTTGCCATGCTGCATCTGGCCAGGAGGCAGATCAGTGCTCCATGCTACCTGCTCTGCTCCCACACCCACATTGCCACTGCCACAGTGGGGAGTGCAGGGGATCAGTGGCCTCTTTAATGGCAGGGCTCAGGTGACACAAAGATCTTCTGTTTGTCAGGCTGAGCTGGTTCCCAGCTGTAAGGAGCTTTGTTTCTGCAGATGAGAGGTACTGAGCCAGGTCAGGGTTGGCCCAGCTGCCAAGAAAATAAGCCCTGCAAGAATCCAAAGCGACTGCAGAGCAAGCAGTAAGCCTGAAACAGAGAGTTCTGACAGGGCTGAGCCAAGTGAGACATATGTACACAAGAGACTCATTTGAGAAGGGCAGTACAGGCACACTTCAGTTCTGGCCAGGGCCAGCTCAGCCCAGAGGACCAATTACCTCAGAACCAGGTCCAGGCAAGCGTTGCTGTACAGTGCTGATCAAATCTGGCTCTGTGACTCCTCACTCTGCCTGATCTAAACAATGAAAGGGTCTGGAGGCCTGTAATGTGGTTTCCCAGGAACCTCTTACAGTACAGAACTATAAAGTAGTTCTGTTATTACATGGTTTCCCCCCTGTTCTGCAGCATGTCCTAGTCACCATCACTCCAGGCTGTCAGATGGAAGCTCAGCATGCTCTCTGCTGAAACTGAGTCAGGCCATCCATTGGTGAGGGAAAGTTGACTGTGCATTAATGGCAAGCACCATCACCTCTTCCTTCAGTCATGTTCTACAATAAGGGTGAGTCATGGCTCTTTTGCAGAACCATTAAAACACACCAGCTCCAAAAGAAGATTCTGGAACATACAGCCTCAGGACTGCCTTGCTGGAGTCACAGAGAGATTCCAGACACATCTCCTTTCCTCAGAATTTTCAATTGCTAAGAATCAAACAGCCTCTACAGTGGTCATCCAAGTTTAAGGTGTGTCCATTTTATATGAAACAGAATTCAGTGCTTGGACTTCAGTCTGAGAGAAGAACCTAAAAGTCCTTGTGCCAGTGTTGAGGCTCCTTAGGGAGGCTCAGCACTTAATTTCTGTTCTTGCTCATTTTCTGCAGGAGAATGATATTCAGCCTCCCTGAGGAAGGGGAGTGTTTAAATTGACAAAGCACCCAAGTACTTTAGCAAAGAAAGTGGAAAGCTAAGAGGTGATACAAAGCTATTGAGTGAATAAGTATTAATTATTATTTTGCTTTTTCATCTACAGAGGCTTTCCTAGTTCACATAAACATTTAAGACCTCATCTGAAAATAGGAAAAATAAAACATTTAACATGCATTTTGCAATGAAGAAACAAGGAGGGACCCAGACATGATGAATAAGCCATTGTCCAGGCAGTCTGCTGGCACTGCAGCCTAGAGACTGGCTGGCAGTTGTGTGGCACAGCTCAAAAGCAACAGGCCATCAGCCACCCCATGGGGAAGTGCTGCTTGCTGAGAAACAAAAAATCACTCTGTTCAGTTTTGGCTTGACATGTACATTACTTTCTACATTGCTTTATGTCACCAAAAAGGTGAGTAAACTTGCTTGAAACAATGAAACATTAAAAATCTCAAAGCAATAATTAGGAAACTTCTGTTTCTCCAGATTATCACTGAGGGAATTAATTTTTGCCTATAAGTTAGCACCATAATTTGATGCCTTGGTTCATGCCTCACTTTTAAATGGTTCTTCTCTTTATTGCCATGGAAAATTTATGCCAGTGTCTGGATCTAGGATTACAATATAATGTCAGATACAGTACATCAGTATGTGATATTCCCATGGTTTGTGTCACACCTGCATCCACAACTCCTGCCACAATATTATGGCTATTTGTACCAATATGGGGACCTAGATAAAATACTGTTATTGTTCCTATCTGCCTTGATTTTATAATCCTTGCTTCTGATGAAACTAAGAAAAATTATTAAAAGGCCCTAAATATTTGGGTTCATTATGGAAAGTGGTAGCAAAATTACAGATTTCACCTGCTCTTATGCAAACATAGGATGATGTGCAGTTCACTGAAACAATCTGAAATGTGTAACCCTGTAACTCAGACTGCTAAAAACAGATGCCTTAAGTCCATTTCTCTTGTGCATGGAACAGTGTTGGGTTATCCACCTGCTGCAAAGCAAAGTCACTGCAGAGCCTTGTCAAACTACAGTGATGATGCTCTGCCCACTTTCCACTGATGGAAACACCTGGAACAGTACAAGGAAGACAAAAGAGGGACCTAGAGGGTTTTCAGTCTATATTTCCTTCCCCTTATACTCCAGACTTCCTGTGAATTGCATGGATTTGTCTTTGTTCCTTATGGCTATCAAACCCTGAGGCTTCTAGATGCCAACATGATTTCCAGGGCATGTTCTTGTGTTGAAGAAATATTGAAGAAAACTAAAGCAGCACAATGCTGTGTTGGTTCCTCTCTTGCAGATCAGTCACAAGGAGCTGCTGTGCAGAGAGCAGTGTCTGGCTTAAAGTGTCACTTGTCACATAAATACAAGGAATCATCACTGCAAAATAAAGCACAAGAAGGAGCTAAATGAAGAACCTCTGGCATGGTAATTCCAAATTTTCTGAACTGCTTTTCCCATCTGCAATTCATTCCTCCTCCTCAAAGAACTATGCCTTGAGTATTAGTGCCACATACTGGAAATCATGATAACATACTCACTTGAAAATATTTCATAATACAAAATGAAGGTGCACTGGCTTTAGGATGTATAGTTAATGAAACAGCAGGATTTATCTTTACAATGCTAGCATCTCTATGTTGTAGCTGTATTGTACAATAAATTATAAAAGAATTTCTTAATTGCATGATAAAATTATGACGTTTGCTCCTTAAAGAAACAGAGACTCAAACCATGTCTCAAACTAAGTTCCTTGCCCTTGAGAGTTGGTAAATCAAATAACCTCCTTGTACTGTCATAACTGTGCTTAAAAAACCCAACTCAAGTGGTTGTCCCTTGGAACTGTTGGATTTTATTACTTTTCCTATGTTTTCACACCCTCCCCCTAAAAGGGGATTGCTGTTCACCAGCCCAACGTTAAGTGCAGCATCTTAGGAGCTGCAGTACAAACACACACATCTAGGCTGCTTTTCCTCTTCACCAGCACAAAGTTTGCTGAGATTTGTAGTGATTTGTTAAATTCTCAACAGCTTTAACAAGCTAATTCATTCAGCCTCCAAAACAAAACTACTGGGTACACCAAATCCCAGTTTTATCTCCCTGATTAAAATCAGTGTACTTAGGGAGGTATAACTGAAACTTAAGTCACAGGTTAGGAAAAAACCTTCAAGTTTTCTAGGAAGTTCTGAACTCCCTATCCAAGTAAGACAGAGCAAGCTCACACCATTAATTTTTCCTTTATGGTGAAAATACAAGAAGCACTTCTTTTTATCATTTATAGCCCAATAATTAGGTGCTGTTAAGATTTCTCATTATGCTATCCAAAACTTTATAGTCAAATCTAAATGTAATAAGTGAAATATTGTATTAAGCAGGCTAAATCTAATTACTTGAAGATCCTTGCTACAGTATTACAAAAATAAGTTACATATCTTAGATAAACTTTAAAAGAACACACAGCTTCCCATCCCCTCCAAAAACACCCACCTCACATAAAAATTCAAAAAGTTGCACACCAGGAACACTTGCTCTTTAAGCCAATTCCCTTGTTCTCCAGTGAAAATTTTAGTTAACTGCTGGTTAGGCCTGAGGTCTTTCTTTTGTTTTCTTTAATTCCTGCAGCTTTACAGTTCCCCATCCCTGGCTGTCCTGGCTGAACACCAGCTTTGGCTGGGTGCTCTGACACCAAACAAGGCGATGTGAAATCCTAACTACAAGTTCAGCTGGAAAACTGGCAGCTGAACTGCCCAGCTCGAGACACACCAGCCCTGGAGACCAAGGGCTCTGCCCCAAGCAAGAAAGGAACCACACGAGGCAGGGTTATCAAGACAGGCTTCAAAAGCTTTTTATTTCAGTGGAAGAGCCCAACAGAGCAGTGACAGCAGAGGAATTAATCACAGAATCAGTTACATTGGAAAAAAATCTCTGAGATCATCGAGTTCAACCCGTGCCTGGCACAGTTTGAGATTTATATCCTCTGGTCCTCCTAGAAGAGGCTGATCCCACCCGGTTTCAGCCTCCTGTCAGGTGGAATTGGGGAGGGCCAGGAGCAGTGGCTCCTTTCCACAGTGCCGATGCTCACTCCTCATGTGGCAGCAAGTTCAGCCTGCGAGCCCTCAGGATCCACAAGGCAACTGTCCCCACTCCAGCAAAGCCGGCAGCCTCCCCCATGTCCAGTTCTGGGCTCAATACAAGAGGACAGGGAGCTCCTGGAGCTCCTTAGCAGAGGATGAAGAAGGGACTGGAGTGTTAAATGAGAAGCTGAGGGAGCAGAGGTGAGCTCGGGAGGAGGTGAGCTCAACAATGTCAGCAAAGGGAGGAGGTGAGCTCAACAATGTCAGCAAAGGATGGATCAGGCCCTTCTCAAGTGGCACTGAGCAACAGAACAAGAGACACCGGGCAGAAACTGATGTACAGGAAGTTCCACCCAAATATGAGAATTTTCATGTGCAATGACCGCTCACTAGAACGGATTGCCCACAGAAGATGTGGAGTCGCCCTTATTGGAGATACCCCAGAACCGTCTGGACAATCCTGTGCCACGTGCTCTGGGACGACCCTGCTGGCGCTGGGAAGTGCGACCAGAGGATCCACTGTGGTTCCTTCCCGCCTGAACCATTCTGTGATTCCTCTCACGGTCTCCAGCTCACCTGCCCCGCTCCTCTCACCCCCCGCCTCCTCTGCGCTCTCCCCGTCCCCTCCCGCCACCGCTCCCCTTACACCGCCCCCCCGCCCTGCACTCCCTCGCCTGCCCGCCCTCCGCTTCCGGCTTCAGGATTGGCTGTCCGCAGCAAGGCCCCGCCTCCCACCGGCCGCGATTGGCCGGTTCTGCCCGCGCGGCGCTGCCATTGGCGGGCGGGCGACGGCGCTGCGGGTCGGGCCGCGCCGCGGGCGGGGAGCGTGGCCGGGGCGCTTTTGTTGCTGGGTCGGCGGCGAGAGGAGCGGGCGGGGAGCGCGGGGCCCGCGGACACCGGGGCAGGCGGGGAGTGGGGCCGGGCGGCGCGGCGCGGGCACGGCGGACGGCGGGGCCGGGCCCAGCGGCAGCCATGAGCGGCGGCGTGTACGGGGGAGGTGAGTCCGGCGCCGCCCTCCCCTCCCCCGCCCCGCGAGGCGGCGCGTGCGGCCCCGGCGGGCGCTTCCCGCCTCCCTCAGCCCGGCCCGGCGCTGCCGCGGCCCCTCCGTGTCCCACGCGTGAGGAGGAGGAGGAAGAGGCGGCGGGCCTTGTTTATGTTGTTTATGCTGTTTATGTCCTTGGCGGCCCCGAGGTGCCTCCGCCAGGGACCGCTCGCACCGCGGCCTTGGGCAGGATCCGCCGTGCCAAGGTCCGGAGAAGGTCCCCGCACTTTGGAAGCCGGGTGTGGTTCCCCCGAGCCCCTGTGCACACCCCCTGTGACATCCGATCCTTTCCCACAGGTTTCCTTTAGGATGTGCAGGGATCGGGCCCGTAGGGATGGGCGCTCTGACCCCTTCCCTCACACCGTTGATGTTTTCAGTCTCACCTTCCTCATCCTCATCACCCGCGGGGGCTCTGCGCTCGCCTGGCTTCCTGTGGCTGTTAAATTAGAACTTCTTGAAAGTTTTATCTCGCGATCCGTTTAGCTGCTACTACGTTTTCCCTCTTCTACTGAAGTTCTCTTCCTTACGCCAGATGGAGGGATTGCAATACCGCAGTTAAAGCCTGTCTGCAGTTTTCCAACTGCTCTCTGGTAGCGGGAGTTCTGAATAGAGAAGTTTGTCACTACTTTGTAAAAGATCCCTTGCTTTGCTTGTCTTGCTTTCCCATTAAAGCAGGCAGTGGGCAGGAAAAGGTTAGAGTTGCAGAAGAGTGTGATAACCATTCTTTATTAACAATCTTTTCAGATGAAGTTGGGGCTCTGGTTTTTGACATTGGCTCGTACACAGTGAGAGCAGGCTATGCAGGCGAGGATTGCCCAAAGGTGAGAGAATCTGTGCCTCGATGGAAATTCAACATGAATTTATGCCTTAAAAAGTCTTCTTTGCGAGTTACAACCCTTCCAAATACATTGGGGTTTGTTCTGACTCTGTTGTATAAAGAAACTTGTGAATTTATGAGAAAAACACCAACTTGCAGAACATTGCTAATCCTTATGTACTGCTTGCCTCTTGCCTTGCAGGTGGATTTTCCAACAGCCATTGGTGTGGTGCTGGAAAGGGACAATGGCAGCACTCTGATGGAGATAGATGGTGACAAGGGCAAACAAGGGGGCCCAACCTACTACATAGACACTAATGCCCTGAGAGTTCCAAGGGAGAATATGGAAGCCATTTCACCTCTAAAAAATGGAATGAGTATGGTGCTCTTGTCTTTTTCTACCTGATTTTAAAAAAATAGCATTGCCAGGCCACAGCAAGTTATGGTTGTGTTGACAGATGTTATGTACAGCAGCAGAGACTGTAAGAACAGAACTCCTGCTTTACAAATTGCATGGAGATGTGGTTGGTTTTCACTGTTAGTGGGCTTTCAGCATAATTGTTGAAGTCATGGTGGTTGTGGAGGAAGAGAATTCTCCAGAGGAGGTGTGTGTCTGCTGAGGACAGCTTTTGATTGAAGAGCTCTGTGCAAAAAACTAAATTGGAAAGCATTTATGTGTTTATGAAATGAAACAAAACTTAGAAGTAACTAACCTGTTTGTCTCAATGTTGTTATAGTTGAAGACTGGGATAGTTTCCAGGCAATTTTGGATCACACTTACAAGATGCATATTAAATCTGAAGCAAGTTTGCATCCTGTCCTTATGTCTGAAGCACCAGTGAGTAAAAGCAGCTGTGCATTTTGATAAGTCTTTTTGATAGCTCTGTAAACATTAGTCCTGGATAAGTCTGGCAGTGGCTTGTAGGTGACAAGTGCTAAAACTTAGCTACAGAAGTGACAATTTTACAATACTTGGACAGCTTCTGGAAAACCTTCAATTTGAAATAGTTTGTATGAGTTATATTAGAAAGTATTTACAATATGCTATTGTTTTTCACTTACTGAAAAGAAGCCAAAAGTTAAAAAAAGAAATTTTACTGCCTAGAATAAAAAGAAAAAAGATGTTTGGATGTCTTATATATTAAGTTACACTTAATAAAAAGTCATAAAAAAATCTTGCTTCATTTAACTTTACAAGTAACATTAAGTGACACAGAATAATATTTGTAATGGAGAAGTTTAAATTTTTCTGTCTTTGTTTCTGTAAGTTGTCCTGTAAGGCAGCTGAAGTGGATGAATACAAATTTCTGGGAAAATCTGGACAAGATTTCTGTCTTTTTAAAATGCTCAGCATTTGAAGGCAGATCTTGAAGTCAGAGTAGAAAAGGTAGACATGCCATACACAAGTGTGCCTTTCTTTAAGAAAACCTTATGAAAAGGATTTTGTTGAATTTCATTGTTCCCTTGTGTTGAATCACAGCTTGTGGAGTGTGGATGCGTTTGCAGTGGCTGTTTGATGGCTCAGTGGGTGTCTGAATAGAGACATTCCCATTGAAATTCTCCTTAAAAACCTCATCTTACTTTCTTGTATTGGCTTGGAAAAAACTTCACATTTTTAGCAATGTGCTGAATATTTCAGTTATATCCTGGCTTAATCACAGCTAAAGGTACTTTGGGAACTGGAAAGTCTGGATTTATTTTTCTTCCCACTGGGCAAGTTCCTTCATGTATCTTCTCCCTTGTAAAAGGCAGGGTGCTTGCTTTAGAGAGTTCTCTGGGAGCCTGACACTGAAAGAGCTGCAGAAATGTAGAAATGTAATGTAACATGAAAGGTGTGCAGCACTTTTGTGTGACAGATAAACATTGATGTGTTGTGGTATAAATGGAATGAAAAACGTTCTGAAGAAGTAAATTACTAGAAATACATTTATGTGGAATTTTGGTATGATTGGAAACTGTGGCTGGAGTTTTTTTAATAACTTCTTTATTGTGTTAGCAGTCTATTAGTGTGCAAACACAGCTTCCTTTTGGTCACTTCCTTGTGGTTTGGGTTTATTATTTTTTAGTGGAATACCAGGGCAAAGCGTGAGAAACTGACGGAATTGATGTTTGAACACTACAACATCCCGGCCTTTTTCTTGTGTAAAACTGCTGTTCTGACAGCGTATCCTTTCAAATGTTTCACTGCTTGGTTTTATTTTCTTCCCCCCAGGAAATTATGGTAAACTTTTTCCAGGCAATTCCAAGTATAACAGCCTGCCTAGCTTACTTAAAATTGATTTTTTCCATAAAGATCCAGGGAGGAAGTAAACAAATGCATTTTATGTACTTTAAGGCATTAGATCTCATTTTTGAAGTTCTCCCAATCTGACTCTGTCCTCGGGGTCGTAGTCTTATTTTATTGTATTTTTTTTTTCCATTGTATACTATGGGTAAGAACATTACAGACCTGAAATGGTGGTGTCCACATTGCTAAATACAGTAATTAGAGCTTGACACTTTCATAGCCTTAGGAAGAATATTTGTAATTATTTTAACTAATAATATGTTTCCAGCTTTGAGTCTAAATGAGTTGGATGTACTCAGAGCTTGCTGCATAGGAGTGGCACAAAGTCTCACCCTTGTGCCTCCAAAGCCTGAGTTAGTTCACAGATGGAAGTTCAATGCTGCTCTCTCTGTGAGATTGTGCACTTCACAGAAAGATGGTACACTGTGGAAAATTACAAATCCCTCTGTAGAGGCAAGGAATAACATGTTGGAGTCCTAATTCCTAGTTATGATTTAATTGTATGGCAGAAGGTTTTTTTTCTGAAGTGAAAATTACAATGTTTTCCTTAATCACTTTGACTAGTTTTGCTAATGGGAGATCTACAGGTCTCATCTTGGATAGTGGAGCGACACACACCACTGCTATTCCAGTGCATGATGGATATGTACTTCAGCAAGGTGTGAACTTTCATTCTGCTTGCACAGTTTTGTTACTGCTTTTACATCTCTGTGCCCCCTTAAAAAGGCAAAAAACCCTAATAGTGTTCACTGACAAATAGTTGGGAGAGCATGTTCATGATTTGGATACTTTCCAGGTTAAGTTGGTTTTGTTTTTATTTTGGATCCCCTCTTTGCTTTCCAGGTATTGTAAAATCTCCACTTGCAGGAGACTTTATCACTATGCAGTGCCGGGAGTTGTTTCAGGAAATGAACGTAGAGATCATTCCTCCATATATGATTGCTTCAAAGGTGGGAAAATAACTTTATTTAGTAAGTGATGTCTTGGGGAGAGGCTTCAATGTTTACCTGATGACTTTGTCCCCTACAATCTCAGGAGGCAGTACGTGAGGGGTCACCAGCAAATTGGAAGAGAAAAGAGAAGTTGCCCCAGGTCACCAGGTCTTGGCACAACTACATGTGTAATGTAAGTAGGTTCTGCCTCCTGCTCTCACCTCCCTGAGTGTTCCATAAATAAGTTTTGTTCACAAGTATATCATCATTTTCTCTTGAAGAATGAGAAAAATCTTTGAAAAGTTAGTACCGATTCTATAAATTTTATAAAAGTGAAGATTTTAACTAATATAAATTCATGTTATTTTGAACTCCACAGTGTGTCATTCAGGACTTCCAGGCTTCTGTCCTCCAAGTATCAGATTCAACCTATGATGAACAGTATGTTACTTTTTTCTTTCTTGTAAAATCTGTTACCAGTTGTGTGTCTGGTGCTCAGCCTGTTCACTGCTGTTGGCTGGTTTTGTTATGGCAGAAGGTTTTATCTAAAAATGGATGATTTGTGAAAGTAGGTGTACTGCATATACCCAGGTGATAGTTTTTTGTTGAATATTCCAAGATGAGATCATAATAAACATTATTGGAAGTGTAAGTCTTATGAATCACAGTATTCCCATTGGAACTGTAGTTTATAACACTGCTTAGATAACTTGATATCCTGTTTAGAGAGCACTTTAATGTGTTGCTTTCTGTCTGATGCTCCAGGGTAGCAGCACAGATGCCAACAGTTCATTATGAGTTCCCCAATGGCTACAACTGTGACTTTGGTGCTGAGCGTCTGAAAATTCCCGAGGGATTGTTTGACCCTTCCAATGTAAAGGTAAAACCACTGTGATAGCTGAGATTGGAAGGCTCTGAATGACTGGGCCATCACATGGCATTCTTTGGTATAATGTTTTTAATCCTGTGATTTGGATGCATTTGCACTGTGGGGTTCTCCTGGGGTAGAATTTGCCTGGAAGGATGAAATGGTTAAACTGGGTGGTGATGAGCTGACTGGAAAAATAGGGATATTTTTGTTCCTTCCCTAACAAAATGCTTAGCTCCCTCTCCAGTAACACTTGTAAAATTCATCTCATTCAGGGCTTTTCTATGCCTTGCTCTCTTGAAGCAGTGATGTGCAGATTCCTAATTTTCCCTGCAGGGTTTATCTGGTAACACGATGCTGGGTGTGAGCCACGTTGTCACAACAAGCGTTGGAATGTGTGATATAGATATCAGGCCGGTAAGTGCCACTCAGCCAGGCTGTATTTTAAGGCATAGATATTTCTGTGCATGTTTTTGGGACTAGAACAGTAACAGTGAAGAGATTTCCTAGGATAATGATAAATATGTTAGAATAATTCGGTAAGTATTATGTATTTCTATATAGGGATATGTACCATTAGTGTTCTGTCTTACAAAATGCTAAATCAGGACCTTTTACTTACTGTTTCTATCCATATATAAAAATCTGATGCACAGATTTTGTGGCTGGCACTGCATAATTTGGATTGGACTGGCTTCAGATAAGCATTGATGTTTCTAACTTGGAGTGTTACCATCAGATTTTTAGGCATCGTTGTGTTTAGAATATACATGGAATTTATAAAGAGGAGAAGTTCTAAAGGAAAACATTATTTTTAAAATTAATGTGCTGTTTTTCTCAGGTGTCAATTTGATACAGATTGCATGAGAGTTCTTTCAACAATTTTTTCCTGTTAACCAGTGTGTGAGGAGAGCTTAGTGGGCTGGGCCATGGTGTGTGTTCAACAACTGCAGCAGTAGTGAGATAGAAAACTGCTGCAGGGTTTTCTTTAGAGGTTGCATTCAGCTGTAAAAAACTCAACAATTTGCATATAGGGGAGATCTGCAGGTTGAGATCAGAAATTGTTCAGTGAAATCATGTAGAACATATGGCTTCTGCCTTCCTTTTATAGTTTAATATTAAGCTGCCTTGCAATATTTTAACTGATTAAATAATAAATTGAATTGGGAAGGTAATACTGTTGGCATCAAGTAATATATTGTTGTTGTTGACTATACATTCTCATGCCACCCCTCTCTATTGTGAAGAAGAGCTGTTTTCAGAATGATTTCCAAGTTCAAGCTCCAGGTTTGTTTTTTTTTTTTTCTCTTTTTAGGGTCTCTATGGCAGTGTGATTGTAGCAGGAGGAAACACTCTAATACAGAGTTTCACAGACAGATTGAACAGGGAGCTGTCCCAGAAAACCCCACCGGTAAAACAACACTTTCCATTATTGCATTGAGTGCTTGACATTTTACTTTTCTGCCACACAAGTACACAAGGATATTGTGGCTTTGATATTCTTAGGAACCTGACAGCTGAGTAGATTTCTGCAGGGTTAAGAAACCTCCCTCTCTAAAAAAAAGAAAGAATTCTTGAGGAGTTTCATACAGAATAAACTCCAGTATTCCTTGAGTATTTTACTGCTCCACTCTTACGCTCAGATTGTGATCCTAAGTTCTCTAATTGTCCCCAAGCCAGTATTTCTCTTGATGATCTCTCTTTTGAAGTGTTGCTGACTAACTTGGGGCACATTCAGTCATTCTGCCTGAGGTCACTTTGTTGTGGCAATTGTTTTTCCTTGATTCTGCAGACAACCTAAATCACCAGGTTTTGTCTGAGTAACATACTTATATATTTTTTTCATCACTTGATGTCGAAGAAAGTATTGATACCTTGCATCTGAGAGTAGATACAGATTATGATATTTCTTGAATTTTAGTATTCAAACAAAAATGTTCTGCTTGGGACAACTCTGAAATGATGAATGTTAGCAGAAACTGAGAAATGTATTCACTGCTTATAATAGCTGAGGAGGAGCCCATTTGAAATTCAAAGATTTTATTGCTCTAAGGCATTTGGAAAGCAAAAGGAATGAATGGATCCAAATAAGACTAGATGACTTTAGTCTAGCAATATAACTCATTTTAGTCCCAATGCACGTTGGAGATGACACTGTACACTGTGATATTATTGCTCTCCACCTGCCCATTCCTTGCCTTAACCATTTGCTGTTGGATCACAAGGTAAAAACCATATTTCCTGTTCCACTGTGGCTGTTTTGAATTGTAAATGCAGGGCAGATGAGCAGTATTGCAGATGTACTAAAATGGACCTTTTTCAGCTGATATTGGTATAGACAGCAGGTTCCTTGTGCTGCTTGTCCCTGAAGGTCACCAGCTTCCATTTGTGTGACATTTGCTCCCTTTCTGTGCAGAGCATGCGCCTGAAGTTGATAGCCAACAACACCACTGTGGAGAGGAGGTTCAGCTCGTGGATTGGGGGCTCCATTCTGGCTTCTTTGGTTAGTAAAGCTGTGTTACTGCATTGCTGTGCTGAACAGCACTGCCACCAGACATCTGTGCATTGCAGAGTCTGTGCTATGGAATCATAACCTTGGCTATCCTCATGGTAAGGGAAAGAGAATCTGTTTTAAAAAGAGGTGTGAGTGTTTCCAGTGACAACATATCCTGCCATGCTCTCCCGTTTGTAGTGGCAAGGTAAAACCTTGAAATACATGTACTTTCTCTAGACTGTATCTAGTAGACCATGAAAGCAGCAAACCTGTTTCTGCATCATATTACTGAGGTTAATTCTACAAGTTACTGAGCACTGAAATGCTTTTTGTGGGTTAATTTATCATCATGGGAAAGGGAGACTGGAACCAGCGTTTGGTGCTGCCCTTCCTGTCTTGAGTTTAATCCTTTAGCAATAAAACTCAAGGAAAAGACAGTTAAGCAGTCAAGTCCTAATACTTAATTTAATGCAAGGACTTGCTTGTTCTCCCTCCTAGGAAAAGCTAATCATGTTTCAATTAACTATCATTGTGTTCTGATATTTTTTCATTGTGTGTTGCTTTTGTTTCTTTATTTTTCTAGGGTACTTTCCAGCAGATGTGGATTTCTAAACAAGAATATGAAGAAGGAGGGAAACAGTGTGTAGAAAGAAAATGTCCTTAGACCTCTTTACTGTGAAAACTGCTGCCTGCTCGGTGCTCCTTCTGTTTTATAGCTTTAGCATACTCAGGAATGGGATGGACTCCTTTTTGTAGGAAGTTTATATTGGGTTTTTTGCATAATTCAAGTTCCATTTTAACAAAGTTAGAAATTTTCAGAGACCTAATTGGTACTATAATAGAAAAAGGATGTTTATGTCCCTTGTAAAGCAATAATTCCTGTTACAAGCATTTTATAATTTTGTATAAATGTCTATTTTCTCTAGTATCTTTTCCTGGGAACAGCTTTACAGGTTAGCTAATAGATAGAGGCATAACCTTGCAAATGCCTGTGCTTATTTATTAATTATTTCTTGTCTAATTTCTTGTCTATTTTCACATACTAGTCTTCCTTGCTGGTACTTTGGCCTTAAATTGCTCTTATTTTTCTCTTAAAAAATAAAATTTGGTCTTTTATATTTGAGCAAGCTTGTGAGTACTTGCAGAGAAAGTTACTCTGCTGTTTTAAAAGTTGAAAGTTTGTATTCAGCAATCTATTTTAGTGTAAACTTTTACTGTATCACAAAAGTGTTACATTCCATGGAGTGAATGTTATATTAAGCACTGGTTTGTTAATTTTTTTTATTAGGGAGCATTTTCATTTCAGTAAGCAAGCAATGCTTTCCACCTGATGTGTAAGAATGTATTTAATGCCTTTGTGATGTTGGTGAGAAGCAAAGCCTGTTCAGGACAGGGGAATTGAGACAAAGAATTGCCTCTCCAGGACTGGGAGCAGTCAGAAGCGTTCAGTGCGTGGCTGACCCTCTGCAGGGAGCCCCTGGTGTGGCTCCCCCTGTGCCTCCCAGCAGGGTCTGTAAGTGCCTGTGTTTGCAGGGGGAAGCTGCACTCAGGGTCACAGCAATGGGGATGACTTTCTTTCAGCAGGAATTGGCTGTCAAGACACAGCTCAATGTTGCTTTTAAGCTTAATTTACAATGGTGTGGTGATCTGTTTTGGGACATAATGAAATTTTGCTCCTTATCTCAAAAGCTGTGGAAAACCAAATAGCATTTAACTGATCTAAAAAAAAAAAATAAACAGTACTGCTACATTTTTGTATCCTAAAAGATCTTGTGGGTAAATAATTATGAGGCCTCTATTTGAAAAGTTTCACATTACCTCCAAATAATAAAGTAATTTATCAAACCAATCTGCTTTTGTCTTATGAGAATCTTGAGTTGCTCTTTAGACAGTCACTTGATCAGGTTTTCAAAGCTATTGACAAACCATATTTCTCTTGCAAAATGAGGCAAACTGCAAAGTCACCAGCTGTTGTCATTGTGGAAGAAAAAGAGTCAGTCCAGCTTCCATTCAGGTGGAACATGGAACATAACTGAGCTGCTGCCTCAGTGCACTGCAGTGGGTGGTGTTTTTAAGTTTTCCTTCTGTGGCATGCTTAGATTTCATTATGCCAAATCACCTTTTATCTTCTGTTTCTCTTAAATTGTAGTACAGTAGTAATATTCCAGCAGCACAGGGAGAGTAAAACACTGCTGGAGGTTTTCTCACACTAAAGATTCTGAGTTTAAGCAGTGAGAATTTTGTGTGATGCAGAGAAGGTGAAGGTCCAAATGCTGGAGATAGATACAGGAAACAGTACTGGTTCCCTTGCAGTGTTTTACCAGATTATACTGCTGAGCACATTTGCTTCCTGAAAGAATGCTATTTGTGACTTTAATCTAGATTTCCAGATGACCACATGTGGAGTTACAAAGCCTTCCTGAAGTGAAAGGTGAAGGTGTTTCATCAACTGAGAGCAACAGCACTACCTGCTTCAATTTCATAGAAGACATTGCAGCCTTCTTTCAAACATTTTGCACTGTGCCAAAAAGCATTGTACAAGTGTTTGAATTGTCAGAAATCAAGGTAGGACAACTGTATTAGAAGTTCCCATGCTGAGTATTTCATACTTTCTAAGAAGCCAGACTTAAAGCAGTGGAAAAAATTCCTCATAGCAGACCAAAGAGCCCAGTTACCAGTGCCTTTATGCAGAGAGCAAATACACCTTGCATAGCTTACCTGTAACTCAGGGAAAATATTCAGGAAAATAGCTCATATGTGAGCTATTCAGATGCTTTCATGTTTCTGTCTGGTTTTAATGCACATTTGTTAAACTAAACCAGGTAAATGTTACCCCTACACTTGTTACTGTCAGCTGGCACTCCATGGCTGCTCTTCACTGTTCTAATGTATCTCTCACTCTTGGAACAGCTGGCTAACACAACATTTGTTCCTGCAAACAGAGAGATCAGATGATTTGAGTTAGATACCAAAGCTGCTTTTTAATTCCAGATCACAAGTTTAATTAAAGTCAAATGTTGTATTAAAAACAAAAAAAAAAAGATGGAGACTCTCTGGAATGCTCAGTGGAGTTGTTTGTGGTTCCAGAACATGATTCATGTTCCACAGACACTTGACCAGTTGCTTGCAGTGCTCTTGCAGCCTGCTACTGGCTCTGGGATTTCACAGCAACATCAGGGAACTTCCTTTCCAGGACCTTCCTCCTCGTCCTCTCCAGGCTTTGCTGCCTTGCCCTTTTCCGTAAGGCTTTTTCAAGTCTGAGTCTGAAACAGAGCAGTTGGTGTGGTTCATTTCCAGCCAGCCTGAGACCACTTTAATGAGCCCCCCCCAGTCAGATAGAGGCTCTCAGTGATTAACAACTTCAGTATTCATTTGCTTCTGATAAGTAAAAAAGCCTCCAGAGTAATATCTTTACTCTGCTTCTGAATTCTACAGAAGTTCAGCCTCTGGGAGGATTTTTGATATTCTGTACTTCAAGTTACTTTTACACTGCTGCTGCATAACCATGTACCTTATTAACTAAGGTGGGAACAGAAAAAAAGAAACAGAGCAAACTGTATTTTAAAAAGCCTAATTTTCAGTCTAGTAACTGAAAAGTGAAAGATTACAGCTATTTTTTCCTTTTAAAGTGGAATAAGGACACAAACAGAGAAGATAACTTTCAATGTCAAAATAATCTTTTTACCTGATGAAGTGATTCACATGAGGTAAGTAATAGAATCTCTTCTTTTTGTGTTTTTTGTTCAAGTGCCATGGTATTGGCCATTCCTTGTAACTGTACCTGTTGGAGACAGATCAAAAATGATTACAGAATGTACATTTTGTCTTAATTCTAGGATTTTACCAGTTTCTCTTGGTTTCAAGATAAAGTGGTCTGGCAGATGGCAGAATTTGTATGTGGGTATTTTTTTCCAGCTCTTGCTGGCTTGGTTTGTTACTATGTCTCCTGTGTTCTGTACAGTCTATGCATCCTTCCTTGATTAGATAAGGATTTTCTGAGAGAGAGACACCACAAGAAAAACTCAGACATTAAAAAGAAGGTTTTCCATACCAGAAGGTGCGTCCCAGGAAGTCGTGTCTCCACTCGCCAGGGACTGGCTTTTCATGGCCCGTCTGTAAAAGCCTCAAAGCAATTTCTCTTTCTCTGACAACCAAATCTATATTTTTCATAGATGTTTCTACCTGGAAATGGTAAAAAAGTTTCAGGATGCACCAACAAAAAACAATGCTGAAAATTTAAAAGATCTCAAAAGACAAAATTTAAAGGGAAAACAAAGGTAAGACATGTTGGAGTTTGAACATGAGTTCTCTTTCAGCAGGGCCTGTGTACTAGAACAGTAAGGAATTCAAAAGTCTAATTTGACAGCAGGACAGATATGAAATAACTGACAGTGTGATACTTGATTAAAGACCAGCTGGGTAAAGCATAAACCAGATCCAATGCTGATGCAGAAGTGTAGGAAGCTCTGAAGCAGGGGTCAGATGGCAGCAGGAGAAGCAAACAGAAGATTTGCTTATGGTTTGTAGTGGTTGTTGATTATTTTAGTTTTCACTGGACTCTGGTTACAGCAATGCCCAGTGGACACTGAGAAAGCTGCCTTGACCAAATTATGACTTCAGCAGTCAGTGCATACACTAAAATCAGGGGAATAATTTTAAGAAAAAGATCTTTAACAAGTTTACAAACACTTGATCTTTCAGCAGTTTTACTTAAGAGTTACAGTTTTTATGTATGATGAGAAAGTTACCTTTTCTAAGCGCTCTGGGCTTGGCATGGGCTTGCGCTGTCGTTTGGATTCCTGCTCTAGAGTTAAGAGCATGTTCCTTTCTTTCAGCAGGACATACCTGGAGCAGAAAGCACAGAAATGCAATAATCACTTTGGGATAGCTAAGCAGTTATTAACACTTACTATCTGTCACCCCAAATCCTGCTGCCTTCATATAATGAAACAAAGAGGAGAATGAGGGAGACAGTTTTACTTAGTCTGGAATAAAGAGGGCTTAGGAGGGAAGAGTTTAACACTAAGTCTTCCACTACTTGGACAGAGCCAGATTCTTCTCACATGTACACAGGAAAAGACAAAGCAAGGAAGAAGCTGTTCACAGTAATGATTAAGTTCAGCCTGAACTTAATCCAGCTTCAGAAACTTCCAAAATCAGAATAAATGCAGGCCTGAGCACCCTGATGGAATGAAGTGCCCACCCACCAGAAGGCCCTGACAACCAAGAGGGTCCCCACTCAACCCCAGAGGGTTTTGTACAAAACCTGAGCCCTCTGAACTAGACACAGCTGTCCCACAGCCACCTGCAGTGCAGCTTCTGTGCTCTGAGCAGGGCCAGCACCAGGGCTGCTCCAAGCCCAAAGCTGGCTGGAGCCTGCAGAGCTCTGTGCCAGACTAAAGCTACTGCATCATGAGTTCACCAGCCACATTTTATTGATGTGCAGAGCTGCTCTGAAAGAAGAGAAGCTTCTTCACTAAAACTTACTTACCAAAGTTTGTGCAAGTCTTCACTACTCTTGCCCCTTAGCTGCTTTATATTCCATGAATCCCCTGTAAAAGATAAACATCCACCCTTAATTTAATGAAACCAAGTTCTCTTATTCTGGAAAATAAAAATTGCTTCTATCAGGCTCAGCTGACACAACAGTATAAAGACCACTTCTAAAATGCTACTGCTTGGACAGCCATCCTTGAGGATATTCAGCTTTGCATTTAAAATACCATTCAAAAAGGCAATTATAAATAGTTTTTATTTGCACTTGTAAAAGGCTGGAAACACAAAAAGCTGTCAGATGAATCTTGACACTGAACTAGTTTTCTTCCATAATACTTATATTTCATCAAAGCACATCTCTTCTGGGATATACTCTCACTTCAGAGCAAGGCAGAGGATTTACAGCAAAACATTTTGCTGCACAATTGCCATTTGCTTTCATAAACACTGAATACACACAGCAAAAATTAACAGGCATCAAGATGCACAAGTGGATGTATGTATATATACATAGATAAATAAGTGTAGCTATGAATGCTCCCTATAATGCAAAAAAAAAAACCAGGTCAGATTTCAGCTCAAAGATCAATATCAGAAATGCTAAATATAACTCACCAGACTTTACACTTTTTTCCCCCCAGTTTCCTGGATCATCAAAAAACTCCTCCAGACCTCTCCGAGACACAGTTGTGTGCAGGAACTTCACCTGATGGAGGGTCTCATTTTTTGGTAGGTTCTTGTGGTACAGATTGAATGCCATGCTGCATAAAAGTTAGAAGGAAAACTATGTATGATAGGAAAAATAATATTCTGCTAAATGAGAATGTTTCAATTACAAAAGCACAGGTCCTACAGACAGATCATGGCATGTGGGGAAAAAGCAGAGTTTTGGTTAGTCACAAAGATGTCATCTTGGTGTTTTCTCCTCCCCCTCATCTCATCTCCTCCCCCTCATCTCATCTAATTTTCAGTTTTCTATACTTAGAGATAATAAGCAATTAAAAATTAAGGAATAAATCTGAGCTATGCTGTACAAGAATACATCATAGGCACACAAAACTTTTAGCATTGGAAAGAACCCCCGGAGATCATGCAGTGCAACACCTCTGCCAAAGCAGGGTCACCTGGAGAAGGTGACACAGGGCCGTCCGGGTGGGTTTGGGTGGCTCCAGAGGGGGAGAATCCACGCCCTCATCCCCCGTGGGACACCCGGCAAAGCACGAACCCACCAGCACAATGGCCGCAGGTTCCACAGGCCCAGGGAGCCGCTTGGTGCTGCCCTCACACGCTGCCTGCCGCCATACACCGCACTGCA